TAGAAGGGTGTGGGTGTTACGTAAACGAAGAGAAACACCCCACATCTACAGTCACTGTTTCGAAAGAAAAAACGTTAATTTTTATCCTTTCTGTCGATTCAAAATATTGTTTTTTTGTTCTCCTTGTTCTTGTTCTTTTGCATTCTCAAAGATTGCATACATTTAATAATGCTCTCATATTGATCAAAATTCACATTCTACGATGTGAGTGATTTTTTTGTTCTCTGTGACAAAAAAAATTAATATTTTGAATATTTCGCGGAATTTTAGGCAGGCATGGCTTGTTCAAATGTATTATAGGTAAGTGAAAAATATTGTTTACAGTTTCCTGAATGAATAAGATTCTACAGATATGCTACATATCAAGCTGGTCTCACGAAACATACATTATACATTGATAATAGTGGAGTTGCTGCTTCATTTAGTTATACAGAAAAAGGCTCTAGAACTCTAGGCAAGCCGACTATAGTCTTTATTCATGGGGTTTCTTCGAATAAAGAAGCATGGATACCGATCATAAAAGTAAATTAGAATTTAATTATTTTAGCATCTAAATGACTAATTTATCGCATACATAGAATATTCCAGCTGATCATCATTGTATCACTGTTGATCTACCAGGCCATGGTGAAACAGTTGGCTTCAGTGAAGATATGTATTCAATCGATAAGTTTATAGAAAAACTCAAACTGGTAATCTTACATTTGTCTGTCCTACCAAAATATTTTCTACTTTTCATATACTATTTTGTTACTAGTTTTTTGATAAAATGAAATTGACCGAACCAATGTGCATTATTGGCGCATCGATGGGTGCTTCGATTGTGTGCTTGTTTGCTGCTAAATATCCGGAATATGTATGCATGATTTGCTTGCTAGCTCCGATAGGTAATTTTTGTATCAGTCTCTGAGTACGTATCGCTAATTTGTTTAAATATATCTGCTTCTTCAAATAGCTAATGAAGCATCTGAAACTGATTTAATTCGACAACTGCGCGCTGGTGTATACAATACGCTTTTACCAGAGACACCAGAAGAATTTCACAATATGATCCATACATTGACGATGAAAAGACCTGATTTTCCTTCACCATTTGTCAATGGATTTCTTCATTTGAACAGGCTGTTGTTAAAAGAACATAAAAAAAGTATTATGTGAAAGAAATTATTCAAATTCAATTTAATATGCCTTTTTAGTAATTGCTTCACTTTTCGAACACGATTATCCACAAATCGAACGTCATTATGCAAAATTGCGACAGTTAAACTGTCCAGCATTGATTTTATGGGGCCGACAAGATCAGGTATAAAATGTGGAAACCAAAGGTTTTCAAAATAAATCTTGTTTTCACATTTAGGTCTACGCTTTTACTGGTGCGGAATATTTTCGCAATTTGATACCAAATTCAGAATGCCTTATCTTGGAAGATTGTGGACACATTATGGGTATCGATAAGCCCGACGATACAACTAGGGCAATCTTGACATTTTGCGATAGTCATGTAAAACTATTACATTGATTTTGTTGCCTAAGTTCTTGAATAAATTTGATAAAAAAGAAATACATGCTAGTATTCAATTTTTGCAGTCTTCATTTAGTTTTTTTATTGCTTCAAAGATATTTTTGTGTTATTTCTGGTACATGTATGAAGCCCTAGATCCACTGTCTTGAACTAAATTCCATTCAACACTAGCTGCTTATTTAAGATGAAACTTCGCCTACACCCTCGTTCGAAATAATCATCGTAAGCAGCTTATAATTCGGCGAATATTCTTCTATGTACACGTCTACACTCGCACCCTCACTCCGTTTATTACTTGCTAATGTATTTATGTTTTTTCTTCTGAATGAATGAATGAATGAAAAACATTTTTTGAGTATAATACAACAACCGTTCTTCGACGAAAGAAAAAAATGAAATAGGATTGTTTTAGAGGAATGAAAAGAGCTCTGATTTTCATAACGCAATAACTCGTGGTCGCGAGCACTCACCCATCGAAATTAACTCATAATATCTACAAACGACATTCAACAAGTAAGCACTATGCATTAATTTTTCTACTTCATACCATATGAGCAAATCAGTAACTTATCAGCAAGTACCTATTCATTGTCCTATGAGTGTATGTTGTCTCAAAGTAGAGGATGTGGATGTATCGTTTCTTTCTACTGTACTAAAAACACTGAATTATTCTATTAAAGGATTGACTTTTCTGCACGAGATAATACGATGACAAATTATGATATCAAATCAAAATATGGTGGTCTAAAATTGCACGTCAAAGATTGGAAAGTACCCAATCCAAAAGCGGTTATATTAATTATACCTGGCTTCGGGGATCATTGTGAACGATATGGATATCTAGTGAATTTTTTTAATGAGCACAATATTGCTGTTGTTGGCATCGATCTACGTGGACAAGGTCGATCAAAGGGTGAACGCGGCTATACAGAGAATGTTACAGCCTACTTAGAAGACGTAACAAGTGGAATTGAAAAAGTTCAGGAGCTTTACAAAAATGTTCCTCTTTTCATGTATGGTGATGGCATCGGTGCTGCTATCTTATGCCTGCACATACAAGGACGTTCTGCTGATAAATTACCCTATAAAGCTTTGATTTTATGTACACCGTCGATTATCTTCCCGAATAAACCAAATTTTATTCATTTGGCCCTTGTAAGAGCATTTGCTTATTTAGCACCTCATACTCGTGCACCTGTTCTTGGAGGTGACTACGAATACACAAATAATCCAGAAGCTAAAGCTGCTCGTGAGAGCGATCGATACTTCCATGATCGCTGGCCTGCACACACAGCTGCTATTCTTTGTGAAGCCGGGCTTTATTTTGAAGAAAATGCCTTTCATTTCCCAATACCAACATTGATACAACATGGGTCAAAGGCATTCCTACCAATGGAAAAATTGCGCAATTGGATAAACAAAACAACAGGAGATCGAGAGTTCAAAGAATGGGAAGGTTTTTATGCTGAGCTACATAATGATATGGGTCGAATTGAATTATTCGAATACACTTTGTCCTGGATGGAAAAAAAACTCGAATCGTTTAAAAACAATCCAGCTTCCTGAAAAAATACATTCGATATATAAAACTATTTTAAGAGGACGTCTGAATTTTTAATATATGTGTGATGTATGACCTTGAATGTAGTGAAAACCGAAATACTGCTCTAACAATGTTTTAATTCTCACCACTGTGAGAGTGTTATATAAAAAAAAGTCTCTTTATATGTTGGTACAGGATTGAAGTTCAAACGTCATGCGTTTGACCCAGCAGGTTGTTTTAGCACTGATTTTGAGAATGAGATTAATAAGATAAATTAAAAAAACTAAAAGAAATCAGTTATATTATCTGTTCACGAATACATAAAAATTAAGTAAATTAATTCATATGAATATGTCTTAACAAGAACGAAGAGTGGATGTGGGTGTGGGATGGGTGTTAGGTATGAGTATGAGTGCAATTCTTCGTCAGCATGCAGTGGCAACTGCAGCATCGTCTACATCCATACTCACACTCACTCCATCTTGAGGATGGAGTTTTAGTGCTGGGTTGAATGTGAGTGTAGTTGAGCGTTCACATGCACTGACAAGTGCAAACTGGCTCAAACTCACACTCACAGTGACACCCACCCCATACCTTTATGTTAATAATATAGCTGCAGTATTACATTCGAAGAAACGTTGACAAACAACAAAAAAGTCGCGGAAAATGTTGACGATTTGTTTTGTTCTCTGAAAGAATGAAAATTGTTGCAGATGTGAGCAGTGATGAAAGGAGTTGACTGTTTTTTATACAGATGAAAGCGATCGAATAATTTCATTTTGTTTATTTGGCAAAGGACACATTGTATAAAGTGAAAAACAAAAATGTAAGTTTATCAAACATAAAAACGAAGGAGCTGCTTGACACCTCGAAATTACGTTTTACACTTACGAATATAGGAAATTTGAATTTTTTAAAAAATGATCACATGAGTCTACAACTGTTTAGTCAAAAGTTGTTTATCCTACTTTACTCAATAATGTCTTCTAATTTCAAATATATTAAGAAAGATAGAATCTTGAGGGCGTAGCTTAGAGTAAAGATACATTTGTAGCACACTCACACTGTGTAAGTAATGTTTATGAGACTTAAGTTGTTTTGACACAAAATCAAGGTTCAATGAGACTTCAAAATCGTACTAATTGCTGATTCCGTCACCATTTTTTGCTTTTCGACTTTTCAGATAACACAAAAACTTGTTTATTATCATATTTGTATCGTCAAAAAGCAGTATAAAAGTATATAACTACCATGGGGTCGGGTGCATCTCGAACATCAAACAGCTTATTAAAAGGTGTTGAATGGAATTGGCAATCGAATAAAAATCCATTCTCACCTTTGGAACCAGCACAATGGAAACAGTATTCAGATTTAGAAAATTTAATCATCGAACGAGCGCTCAAAAATAAACAACAACGGGCCTTTTTGGATCAGCATATCATTGATTTGGAAAGTAATTTGCAAGTATTGAGCGCTGATCAGAGCAAGCAAAGACCAATAAAACGAGTGATACGTAAAAGAAAAGATACAGGCTTACGAGAAGCGCGTTTCATGAATCATCTTTTTCACAAGAAACATTCATGTGATCCTGAGTACGTCTGGGTATCACCGTTTATAATTGAAGTCCGAAGACACTTAAAATATCTACCGGATGATTTACCTTCAAAAAATCGAGACCTAATTCCGGATCTTGTTGAAAAAGCAGCACACGGTATTATCGAAGAAGGCATCAAAATCGACAAGAAATATGAAGCTCTAGAGCTGGCTCGTAGGCTTAGAGAACAAAAAAATAGGGGAATTGAGGAAGTCTGGAAATGTTGTGCATATCTTTATACTTTGGAAAGCTTTTTATACGAAAAATTGCATGAAGTGATGGTATCAGTTGGAGATAAAAACAAGGAACAATTTTGGCGAAGTAAACTGGGTACATTAGGCCCATTTTGTTTATTACTATGGGATGATCCAATTAATACAAAATTGACGACTAGGAAAACCCTTTACCATGCAGCCAAACTGGAACCTAATGAAATCGATAAATACAAAGACATGATGAAAGATGGTAAGAATTATGGTTCATTTCAAGCATATATATCCTGTAGTCGTAATCGTGCCAAAGTTGAAAAACTCGGAAATACATTATTCATTATAGAAGTCTTCGTTGCTTTTACTGCCAATCTTAGTTCACTGTCTGAATACCCTAAAGAAGAAGAAGAACTTATAACACCTGGTGTCTGCTTTCATGTTACAGACGTTGGATTCGATGATAGGAAGCAGAAAAATCTGATCTATTTGGAATTAAGACAACGATTTTCGGGTGAGTGAGAGAAATTTGTTACAGTAATATTTATAGTATGAAAATATTTTTCTATACATTTATATTCTTATTTTATATGGCATATTGAGATTACAGTAATTGACAACATTACCATTTCTTTATATAGTTATGCTGAAGTTCAATATAATAATCATAATTATCAAAAAGTAGATGAGTTGACTTTGTTTGTATTCATATGCACTATAGCCTATAAGTATCCGGACAAGTATCAACTCTTTTTACGTTCGAATAACAAATAGTAAAAATCTAAGCTATTTATAGATAGAGTAAAGTATACATTATGAAATGGAAATTCAAAAAAAATTAAGGATTTAGCTTTAATAATTTCCACAACAATGAAAGTGACATGTTACTAAAGTATATAAATACTTTGAACACACGTTTTGTTTTAAATTGTAATATGCTAACTAGAACTTACGATAGAAAATGTAAGAGTAAGCATGAGAACCTTGATAATCACCATAGCGTGGAAATGTTAACATATAGTATTTTTATTCTACTGGGCTCGACATAAAAAACTGTAGTTATGAAAATATTTTTAAGCTTTTACATCATATATTTGCAAAGCTACAGGATCCTTAAGAGAAAGTGCAGATGTGGGTCACACACGAGAAAATGGTCAACTATACCTACACACACATCCACAACCACACTAAACATATATAGCTACTTATTCTCTTACACTCTCCTAATCCATCTGTTAATCTCTTCTCAAATCACAATGCATCCGACGCTTAGAAAAATTCACATTCAAATCTACCCTGAAACCAAAAATATGAAATATGCTATACAAATTGACACAAAATCATATACTCTTCCTTTTACATTTTAGTGGGTGATATCACTAAAATATCAAAGATAGGAGATGCTTATGTTCACCGTAATGCTGTTAATATTGTGGCTACTTATATTGATAATGATTATGCTGATGCCCCTGCTCATGATAATCGTGCTCGTAATGCTCATATTAGTATTCGTGTTGATCATCGCCGTATTATTCAAGCTGCTATGATGTATGATCGTGATGGTTATGTCATTGACAAGAAAAAATCAGAAACCGGAAAGATGAACACGGAAAGTTAAGCACAAGCAACGATGAGCACAGGAAAGTTAGGCGCAAATAAAATAAAAAAGTGTGATCTCTTATGAAAGATCAATCAATGTGATCGGGTGTGGGTGTGGGTGAGGGTGTGGTGTGGGTGTGGGTATGAGTACGGGTGTGGATGTAGGTATGAGTGTGGGTTGGTATGGGTGAGGGTGTTCTGTGGGTAAAGATGTGGGTGAAGGTGTGGGTGTGAACCTTAGTTGAATATATGATTACGTCACGTTCACACCAACACCTACTCACACACCCGGACTCTCAGTCTTATTTTATTTTATTTTATTTGTGCTTAACTTTCCGTGCTCATCTTTCCTTGTGCTCATCGTTCACCAATCCGAAAAAATCTTGAGAATTGTTTGAAAAATTTTGCGGGATCTAATGAAGATAAAGAAGACAGTCTTTTGTGTGGCATAATGTGATATATATTCGAATGGTTTTTTTTATCGTATATTCACGTGTAAAAGTGTCTTCTTTTAAATTGAAGAGCGTGAGTAATGATGGAAACAGTATTTAGTTAAATAGAGGTCTGGCATTAATTCACAATTTATTTTTAGTTCTAAAACGCATTATTTATAAAAGTGCAGTTTGAAATACATAGTAGAAAAACAACTTGTACTTTAGCATTCGCTATAATCAAAATTTCTGCCTTCTAAAAGATACACACATGAAATGTTGGGTGAGGATGAGAGTGTGAATGCTTGTGAATGCAAGGGTGGATGTGGGTGTGGGTGTAAGCGTCTGTGACCGTGGGCGAGGATGTGGGTAAATGAATGTGTAACAGTGGATTGCACACCTATACCCTCACCCTTGTGTATACTAATGCGCTTAAAGATTATTCTTTTCACGTACCAGCAAATTGTGGAACAGGATTCCATAGAATTCCGGGAACGAAACTAACTCATTCAATGGTCGACATTGCGAAATAGGATGACGGCACTCAAGATGATTATTATTAATAACTGTAAAAAATATTTAGTGTTGCGGTAATTTGTTTCACATGCGGCCTCATCCATAACTACATCCTACCGAATATTTTTTTTGTCTTAAATTTAGATAAACTATGTATTTATTGAAGCACAAGGAGTACATATGTGGACAGAAAAGGGCATCAGTATAAATATTTCGGTAAAAAATTGCTTATTTCAGCTTTAAAATTTTGATGAAAGAAATAGAGTTTTGTCAAACGCCATGATCATAGCGTAGATCATCTTATATTTGTGTCATTATTTTCTAACATTTTGGGTCTTTGCCGCATAGCTTTGATGGTATGAAGAAGTTTTTTGAAAGTTGATACTTTTGTGTTGATATGTTCCAGATGTATTTCAGTTAAATTTTCATCTTCATTTTTATGTACACAAGAAATGGTAAATAGATTTCCTGGTATAATTAACACTTCATCTTCGAGAGGATATCTAGATACATCCTTCACAGAAACTATTCCGTTAGTTCGATTCGGTATATTGAATACATATAAAACACGTTCCTTCCCGGCTTGTGATTCCACAAAACCCATTGCTACGTCTCTTTTTCTTGATGTTGATGTAAATGTTCTTAGAGCTATTACACCATTTTCTCCCTTGGCCGTAAGTTCTTTATATTGCTCAATATCTGATTCGCTCATTAGTGCACCACGAAATGTTTGTCCGGTATAAGCACGTTTTTCAAGCTGGTCAGACTTCATATCGAATTCATAAACGAAGCGCTTGCAGAAATGAGACGTATCAAGGTCGTTTTCCGATGCTAAAGCCAGTTGTTCATTTAACATCTTGTAAAATGCTTTTTTGTTCTTACCGTATTCACTAGTATACAAAGTAATCAATGGGACAATGTCCTTTGCTGTGTCAGCCACTCTCAATGCTTCTTTTGTTCGTTGATATGCGACATCGTCCTCTATGTTTTTTTTGAGAAACTCATCAAAATCTCTATCAGATTCCAAATCAAATAAATTAGCACGGAAATCATGTCTATCTAAAGTTCTATGGAATGTATGCGATACCCAATGGAAAACTTTCCACCACATAGCAGCTGTTTGCTCATTTAATGAATGTTGCTTTAGCTCATCCAAGTCTTTGAATGTCTGTATCCAATCACGCTTTTGCTGTTGTTCTTGGTCTGTGGATTGCACCTTTTCTAACTTGATGCGTTGAAAAACATCGAAAGTTGTTTTAGAATCAGGATCATGGAAATATGATGATGTCTGACGCATATATATTTTTTTCATTTCTGGTGTTTTAATTTCTTCGGGTGGCATCTTACCATCTTTATTCAGTGTTGTTGTAGAACAATCAGCTTTCAGCAATAGTTCAACAATTTCCTTGTGATCATTACGTGTTGCAACATGAAGTGCTGTGTCACCGATTCCTTCCAATTTGTCGACATCGTTTGTTGACATTTTTGGTAAATGCTCTCTTACATAATCCAGCTTTCCATCGCGACAAGCACAATAAAAGTCGCTTGGATCACATTGGGTATATTTTTTTCTCATTGCTTGCTGACACTTTTGATACATCATTTTGTCGGCTGGAGATTTGGTGGCACCAGTTCCCATAATACGAAGATATAGTATTCGATCTTAAAATGCAATGATGATACAAAATGGAAACAAAACTCTTTAATCAATTATAGATATAACGCAATACCAACACTGGTCTGATGATCTTAGCATTTCAGGGGTGTATTTAGGGAGAATGTATAAGATCTAAAGGGTTAACTAAGGCAAACGCTTATTCGTGTATGTTGTCAAGAGATAAATTTATATTTTGAATGATCTTCAAGAAGTAGTATTTACGATTTTCTAAGGAAATATTTACTAGATACCCAAGACCCAGTACTATACAGGTAAAAAGAATGTGGGTTTGAGAATGGGTGCTTGTAGATTAGTGGAGAACCACATTCATGCATACATCGATATATGCATACACACTCGCACCCGTTGGAGACAGAAAAAAATCGACTTTACTGACATTGGATTGTGTTTCTCGTTTTCTTTTAATTATTTTCATTTGACGCATTGGTTTAAATGTAACGCTTGCCATATTTTGACGAAGAGTTTTTGTTTTTCATGCAGAAAAGATAGAACAAAACAAATAAATTAACAAAAAATGAAAAATCGGCGAAAAAAAACTGTAACTTCAATTCTATCCTTTCATGACTGGTTTACTCCGTGTTTTTGAAGTAAACAAAACAACTACTACGCTTTGTTTCTTGAAAAAATAAAATTCAGTGGGAAAGAAGCCAAACATCTACGAAATTGCTTCAGCTTGCATGCAAAATACTCCAGGGCACTTCTTATTATTTTTATATTCTATATTGTTTCGCGAATACAAAGACAGTTGTTTACGTCTGCGCATTCTTGACGGTGCGGGTGAGTGTGGGTGAGCGTAAATGTGAATGTGAGTATCATTTAAACGTTACATCCACGTCCACTCATCCCGCACCTAGAATCCATTCTTTACCTACATCCACCCACAGTCACCGATTCCGCACCAACACTGACACCCAGAATACACCCACACTCGTCGTCAAGATGATTTTCGTCGAATTTTACATTTAATAGCAATGAAGAATGTTGCCGATAAACGTAGAATTCCGAGAACTTCGTCGTTCGCGTAAGTGGATTAATGCGCATATTCACATTCATACTTACTATTTCGGTAGAAAATGCACTGATGTTGTTCTTTTTCTCGATTCAAAATATGTTATGAAAAAAACTGATTGTATTTACTCGAGAAATTGTTTTTTTTTCTTTTCGTTCTTGTTCTTTTGCTTTCTTTTAGTGTTGCAGACGTTTTATACGTGCCTCACAGTCGGTCGATCGAAATTTCGCTTCTACAATGTGAGTAACTTTTCTACATACTGCATAATGAAAAAGTAATATTTTGAACATTTTACCGAGTTTTAGGCAGGCCTGGCTCGTTCGAATGTATTATAAGTAATAGATCAAAAATTTTTACAGCTTTCTAAATGAATCTAATTGTATAGATACTCTATATATCATGCTGGTCATAAGAAACATTCGTTACCTATTGACAATAGTGGAGTAGCTGCTTCATTTAGTTATACAGAAAAAGGCTCTCGAACTCCAGGTAAACCTACTATAGTCTTTGTTCATGGACTTTCTTCGAGTAAAGAAGGATGGATGTCGATTGTAGAAGTAAGTTAAAATTTCATTGTTTAGCATCTAAATGCCTAATTGATTGCATACATAGCATATTCCGGCTGATCATCATTGTATCACTGTTGATCTACCAGGCCATGGTGAAACAGTTGGCTTCAGTGAAGATATGTATTCGATTGATAAGTTTATAGAAAAACTCAAACTGGTAATCTTACATTTGTCTATCCTACCAAAATATTTTCTACTTTTCATATACTATTTTGTTACTAGTTTTTTGACAAAATGAAATTGACCGAACCAATGTGCATAATTGGCGCATCGATGGGTGCTTCGATTGTGTGCTTGTTTGCTGCTAAATATCCGGAATATGTATGCATGATTTGCTTGATGGCTCCGATAGGTAATTTTCGCATCAGTCTATGAGCACGTACCCATAATTTGTTGAAATATATCTGCTTCTTCAAATAGCAAATGAAGAAGCTGAAACTGATTTAATTCGACAACTTCGTGCTGGTGTTTACAATGGTCTCTTACCAGAGACAACAGCAGAACTTCGCCAAATGATTCGTGAATTGACAGTAAAACGACCTTACTTGCCTAGACCAATTCTTAATGGATTCATGCATATGAAATTACGTTTATTGACGGAGCACAAGAAAAGTATTTTATAAAAGAAATTATTCAAATTTTGATTAGTTTTGTTTTTAGTACTTGCTTCACTTTTCGAATACGATTATCCACAAATCGAACGTCATTATGAAAAGTTGCGACAGTTAAACTGTCCAGCATTGATTTTATGGGGTCGACAAGATAAGGTTTAAATTTAAGAAGTTAACTATTTCTAAAATAAACTTTCTTCGTACTTAGGTATATGCTGCTAGTGGTGCGGAATATTTTCGCACTTTACTATCCAATTCAGAACATTTTATTATGGATGACTGTGGCCATGATATGGCTATCGACAAGCCCACCGATACAGCTAGCTCAATCTTGACATTTTATGAACGTAATATCAATCGTCATACACAAATCTTGTCGATGAATGATATCATACTATCGACTGAATGCTAATAGACTTTTTGTGATATCTAATTCCTATGACTTTTCTCCCTAGACTCTTGAATAAAATGTTAAAAAAAAAGAAAAAGAAAAATTTCACTCTACGAGATTTCACCTTGAGTGTATTGCCAGTGTGGGTGTAATTTCCATGTACTTCGAACCGACTAAAAATCGACGATTAAGCACGGTTCTTCCGTTTAAAAATATTTTCTTATTGAAACGGAAAGAATCAACCACGTTGAATAAGTTTGCTTAATTATCGAATTTGATTTTTGTTAAATAAAGCGCGACAAAAAGATAGTCATTTGTTAGATAGCTTCATCAATAGTAAAATTATTAGAGCCGTGTTAGCGATGACTCAAGTCATCACTCTTTCTATGCATGTTTTATTAAAAATGTGATACGTAATCACATTTTTTCCTTTTTCGTTTCTTTTTCTTTTGAGTTAAAAATGTAATCATATATTACATTTTTTCCTTCTTTTTCTTTTGGTATATATACTATTCATTTCTTTGATATATGTATTCCTTGTATTAAATAAAATCTATGAGATATACTCATATACAATTTTATTCATTCTCTCGTAGCCCTACAGACAGGCTAACATTTGGTGCCGTGAACTCTGGTTAATTCTCGCCTGTACCTCGTCCTTTACAACGTCTTCTTCTCTTCTACTTTATGTCTCTTTCTTCTGATGAAGATTCAGTACCGCAGACACTTCTAACCATACCTACTGAATACCAATCTACAATTCCAAAATGATCTTCTACTCAAACACCACTTCAGACGAACACAATGAACACTCCGAATCAACCCCTCTTCGATAGTCCTGCCAATGAGATGAAATTTAAACAACGAATTATAGCGGCGCTTCCACTTTACAATGGTGAATCTGAACATCTTTCAGACTGGTTACGTGATGCTGGAGCATTTTTTTCCAATGAAAGTATTTCCGATGCTCATCAAGTCTTTGCTATACGTTCTCGTCTTACGGATCAAGCTCTCGATATATTTGGTGTTCATGAAGATCTCATTCACAATTTCTACGATCTTCGCAAGCTTCTTTTACAGACAGCTGGTAAAGCGCCTTTACGTACTCTCGCATCAGTTGATTCAATCTCTAACGTCACTTTCAATATGCGTCAGCCCGTCGCTGATTCAACACGTCTCGATTCTAATCAGACTACAACTACATCTTTACCTACAACATCAATAATATTTACTCAATTGGCTGATGATTTAATTCCAAACGAATATCGCAAGTCCATTATTGGTCAATTTCAAGAAGATAAATCTCTCAAATTTTCTGGTGACAACAAACAAGATATTTTTAAATGGATCGAAAGATTGGAACGTAAATTCGAAATCGCAGAAATCAGCGATGTTAAAAATTCGATTTTTTGACTGAATTATTAGACAAAGGAGCTCTAAATTGGTTTCTGGAACGAAAATCATCCTTTAATCGATCGTGGTCCGCTTTTGTTGAACACTTTAAAAAAGTGTATGATTCTCCGAATCGGTCGTTACCTGCATTTCAAAAATTACAGTCGTATCATCAATCCGCAGATCAAGATAGTCGCAGTTTCTGCGATGCGATGCGCAAGTTATGTCGAGAATATGAGCCCGAAGATGAAACTTGATTTTCTTCTCCGCTCGGTTAATCCGACTTATCGTCCGGAAATATTGAAACTTAAACCAACCAGTGCTGATGCATTTGAACAAATTGCAATAGACGTTGAACATACGTTTATTACTTTAACCGCATATGAAACCTATACTCCATCCACGGTGACTACTTATACTTCTTCACCACCATCAGGTGCTAATTATATTGCACCACAACAATCACCTGCATCGAATTATCCTTATCGCTGCCGAAATAACTTCCGTTCGAATCAACGTCCGCCTTTTAACACAACTGTTCGTCCATTTGCATCTTCACCTAACTATTATCAAGGTCGTCGACAACCTTCAAACTTCAATTCACTCCAGTTACCTCGACCACAACAACTCGTCGCATCTGCCTCCGCTGCTCATACAGCACCACCTTCATACCAATCGCTACCACCCCTCATGCCTCCATCTTCTGCTCCACCACCACCACCACCACCACCACCACCACCACCTCCAGCTGCACTTCTACCATTACCTCTATTGTCTTGTCAGTGGTGCAATCAGCAAGGACATTCAGCTCGTGACTGTCCTTTTTAAAGTTGGGGTCAGAGTCTGATGGTTCTGTCTCCAAACCGTCTCCTGCAAATCCATCACCATCTGCCTTACTCAATGCTTCTCTTCTCGTTAACAATATTCCGCTTCAAATACTTATTGACACAGGTGCGTCTGCTACTTGTATCAGTAAATCAGCTTTATCTCGTCTGCCCCATGTTCATTTTCTTGATCGAACACCTCGTTCTTTCTTGCTCGCTGATGGGTTTCTGTCACTTCACGTGCTCGGCAACGTTCAACTCTCTATGCAACTTGGCGCCGAAATCATATCCTTATCTGCACTTGTTACTGAACACCTATGCGTCGACCTCATCTTGGGCATCGATTTTCTTACTTTCTTCGTTGCCAAAATTGATGTGGATCTTCGTCAACTGTCACTCAAACACAATGGTCGTTGGATTATTCTCAATGTTGATGACACGCTACGTCCTTCATTCGTGCCTATTCGGTCCGTTTCGAACGTTATTTTGCCGTCAAAATCTACCATAGACATTGTTGTCTCTTCACCTGTTTCGTCGTTATCCTCCACCCTTATTCCTGCATCCATTTTTTAGAACAGTCCCATTTATCAACACCACAGAAAAATCTTAACATTCAACATCATGTATCTTCCTTAACCATTACAAATCACTCGGCTGTTACTCAAACTATTCCCCACGATTTCTGCTTCGGATATCTTCAATTACCTCCACCTAGCAAATCGTTTTCTGAACAGATTTCTGATCTTTGTGCGAAATACAATGCGAACAAAAACAAACACATTCGTTCTTCAACTTAGATTAATCAATCACCACTTCAACAACGTATTTCTAATACAACTCCATCTCGACCACGCATCTTATCCAAATATCTCCAAGCATCAGGCATCACTACTCATCCATCTTTCGCTTCGTCTTTAGCCGCTGATCTTGCCAAACTTGTCGATCACCTATCCGATACAGCTGAACGCAATTCGGTTTCGTCTCTTCTGTCTCGGTTCTCGAGTATTTTTGATACTTCGAAACACAACATCTCTAGTATTGTCATCGTCCAGGTCTTTAACGCCATTCCTCACTCTCCGCCAGCTCTTCGACCACATCGAAATCCGCATCATTGAGAAGAAACCCAAAAACTGATTGATGAATTTCGCGACGCTGGAATTATTCATGAATCACACTCTCCCTACGCTGCTTCTGCGTTTATCGTTCCTCGCAAAGGAAATCGACCGGGTCGGCTGGTGGTCGATTATCGTGCTCTTAACAAAATCACCATCTCCGATGCTAGCCCTTTACCTCACATCGAAGACACTTTACAAGACCTTGGAAAAGGTTTTAAATACTTCTCTAAGTTAGATCTTAAAAGCGGGTATCATCAGTTTAGAATTCCACCACAAGATCATGAAAAAACTGCCTTTGTCGTTTCTTCCGGACACTACGAATATTCAGTACTTCCTATGGGGCCGACAAATGGTCCCGCGTGTTTTCAAATAACTATGTTCAATCTCCTGAAACCTTGCTATGACTTTGCGCGTGTTTATCTTGATGATGTTATAATCTATTCAACCACTTTACAACAGTATCTTCATCATTTAAACCTCGTTTTTACAATCTTTAATATCAATAAGATCGTTCTTAGTCCTACAAAATGTGAGATTTCAAAAATTTTTAATTGACATCTAAATGAAAATATTTTGATAAAACAAAAGAAAAAAAATAGTTTTTCATTGGTTTTGATGTCCTGAACGATTTTTTCGATTTTATATTTAAATAAATCTTCCCTAACGAAATTGAATAAATTTTTTTTGTTGAATAATTTAATAAAGACAGAACTTTGCTTTTAATCTGGAAAGTGTCGATGTGAGAATAAAACTGTGTTAGATGAATTAGATGCTCTCAGCCACACATTCAAATGAAGCACATGCCGTTTTCAAAATTTAATCAATGATAAATTAACTTTTAAATAACTCCAGGTGTTGAGGGAAAAAATCAAACAATCAGTTGCATATGTGTGATTTTATTCTTAATCATTACCAATAAATTAGTGGTTTATTCACGATATAGATGATGTTTAGATAAATAAAAAAAAAATTATTGCACAACAACGAATCATCGTTCTTCTATAATCCTATTTACCTTCTTCTACTTTTATCATACCTAAAATTGAAATAAATATCACTATAATCTTTTACTTACTATCTCTAAATATCTTCCACTAGGATTAAAAACGTATGTTCTCTAAAACACTTAGATTTTTCTTATGGATATTGATTCGTATCATCGAAACTCGATTCCAGTGATATATGTCGAAAATATTGAAGATACACCGATGGAAGTTCATATATTTGTTGTGAATTATATAAATCATCACAAACAAATAGAATTTTCATATCGGTGGCCTTCAACATATCCGATCAACCCAAAGCATCATTTTTTAAATGACGATAGCAGGGTTTCAGACGATCGGACACACTGGAAGCCGGGTTTTTAACTCAAACGTAAAAAGTTCAAGCAAATTCGAAGAATGATTTCACCAGTAAGTAAGATTTTGATAAGGAGAGCAAACGTTTCCAATCCGTCATCGTTGTAGGTTGTTAGCCACCAGGAGTGTGCTTTTATTGCACAACACGTGGTTGATGATCAAGATTGGAAGATAAAAAATAAATGAAAAAACACGTCTTTATATAGGCAACGATGTTATTGCACAAGTATATGCTAACATAGAGTATTCGAGAAGAAGAGAATGGAAAAAAAACATCACTAAAAAAGATTATATGATGGTGTAAGTTAATATTTTTCTTTATCGTTACGAAACAATGTGATAGGTGAGAGTATTGACTTAGTAACATAGGAGCAGTTTGTTAACTAAGCAAAAAGATTTCAATTGAAAAAAAAACAATTGTGAAATGAAAGTAGATTCCAGAATGTTTTAAACTGATTTTATTGTTTATTATCACAGATGTATTTTAAATAGTCCAGCAAAAATTCAACGATAATTTTTTTTGCTTTGATCAAACAATCTGTCAATCATACGTTCCTGTTAAAATTGTTCTAACCAAGTTTTTATATTTATCCATGAAAGATATCTTATGATCAATAGACTCTGAAATAAACAAAAGAATCTTGAGGATGTGGGTGTGTGGATATAGCACAAATAAAAATCCACACGCTCCATTTTCAATCGCTAATGAACATTTCTGATATCATGATATACGGATTTGTGAAACTTCGTAATTACGTTCATTTCAAATGACTGAATAATCACTTTTACTTTGATCATGCTGACCTGTAGAAATAATGTATTTGCTAAATGATTTTTCTCTATTTATATTTCTTTATAGTCGTAGGTCATAGAAAAAAAGAACACATTTATATAATTATAACAGTATCAATAATGAAGTATTTTATTCGCAAACGATTAAATCAATGTTTCTCTTTCCCTTCTAGTAAAATTTTCGATCAGCACAGTAAATGTGAGAAGAAATCAATATATTTTTTCTTTTCTAAATGTGCAACTATCGAAAGGTAATTGTTTGCTCTCTTTCACTCCTAGATAACTGGCGACAACGATTCATTCTCTTTTCTTTTAAATAGAACAAAAACTCATTATTATTGAGACATTCTGAATTTACTTACACAGATGCGACATGTGAATATTTGATAATTACTACATTATTTTTTCCGTTCTCTAATGATTATTTATACACCTCTGTTGTAAATTTTTCGTCGTCTACTGTAGTCATATATGTATATGCACATAAGATTGTTTTTTTCTTTTTTAACATATTGATCATGGGCAATCGAATAGTTACGAAATTTGGCAAATCTAAATCGCTGACTGATGAAGGTTTGTCTATCTATTGAATTCTTTTGCTGATTGATTATGTTTCTAGAAATCACTGAAATACAAAAGATTTCGAAACTTAGTGCAGAGGGTACGTAGGAAAAAGAATTCATTTTATGTTTATATAGAATTGTTTGTTCTGATATAGAAATCAATGAAAGACACAAAGTAATGAGAAATTTTGTTTGAGATAAATCATAATCATCTATTCTTATTCGAATTTACATTAGCAATTTCTGGGATTACATCCATCAGGTAAAATGACCAAAGAAGAATTCATCCATATGTTTAACTTGTTAAATTTCAATTTCGATGTAAATGATCAAGTGGCTTGCGAGTATGTTTACATATTCATTCAATCATTTCGAATGATTTCACTTTTTTTTTCAACATATTCAGAAAAACATTCGCCACATTTGATAAAAATAGAAGTGGAACAATTGAATTCGATGAATTTCTTGTGGCAATGCTCTTCCTACGGCCAAATACTGTCGAGTCAAACGTCGATCTTCTTTTTCAATGGTTATTTTGATTCAATATCGTAATTTACTGATGATTAAACTACTTCTTTTTTTTTATTGATTAGGTTTGATATTTCTGGCGATGGATATTTAGATCATAAGGAACTAGCTGGAATATTTGAATCTTGCGTAAGTTAATCTTAATATTTCCTTCAAGTAGAGTATAATTGATTATTTTAGGTAGCTTTGGGCCTTGTAAAAAATGCGGATCCCGATTATGCGGAAAAAACCGCTTCCGAAGTATTTGTCACTTTGGGTCTCAGTGATGTCGAAAAAATAAACAAGGAACAACTTATCAGAGGGTACATAGAAACATTTGTTCCTTCTCTATTTGATTTTATTTGTTTCAGATGTAGAGAAAATCCTACTTTGCTCGAAAAGCTCCAGTTTGAAAAATGAACAATACTGTCAACGAATACTTATTTTCATAAATTAACAACTATCTCATTATTTCTCTTCTTTTTTTCTTCACGTGAACTTGCACGTTTGAATTAAAGACACAATAAATTGAATTTTCAGCAATTTTTTTCCGAATTAGATTTTTGATAGAAATCGAAGAAATGCAACAATGTGTTCCATTTTTTAAAGTGATTGATGATTTCTCGTGTGTTACAGAGAAACTAGTCTAAAGCTACAAGAGTTGATTAACTAATTGAATTTCAGTCAACAGATACTATAGACAAATTTTCATGCTTATTGAAAATGAATATTTTTAGAACTAATGTGACACATCAGTTGTCTCAGAAACTTGATCACACCAACTTTTTATCTACTCCAGTATCGACATTTATATTAAAACTAAACAAAATACTGACACGCTCGGAGACGAATAAACTTATATGTCGATAAATATATCCAAACGCTTTTCTATTTCAAAGGATGTATCCGTGGAAAAAATGCAGATAAGGAACACTAAGATAAAAAATTCTTCAGATGCATTTAGATATTTTTGCCATGAAATTAATGGAATCATGCTTTTAACTGAAAATTCAGCAAGCGCAGCTCAAATCAATTGATTAGATATGTCTAATTCGCTGAAATTTCTAGCGGGGTAACCAAAAAATGATGGGATGTGTGTGCTTGTGACGTCAGAGAAGATAAACTCACACCGACGCCTCCTCCCTCTTGTGATAAGATGATATATACTTCCCTTTGTTTCTTATCTCTTCGGTGTTACTAATTCTCACAAAAATATTTTTAATAGTCAACATTAGTTGGTAAAATGATAAAATTTTATCTTTAAGATTGGCGATGTGTATATTGGTAGAACAGGTATGATACACACACACCCTCAATGTAAATACTAAGATGATTTTATTATCAAAAATTATCCATCATTTATTTTTCTTTTCAGAAAATATAAGGAGAAGATTCTTTTTCAAAGATTCATATATAATTCTCTTAGAAAAATAGAACATTATTTTAAGTTTATGATAGATTAGTTAAACATAAAATAGAATCAAATTTATTCAAAGAGTATACCGTATATTTTCTTCTATTATCTTGAACAAATTAATTAACTGAATATCTTTCCAAATACACTTATTTGTATAGAAGTTGTGCATGTTCTCTTATTGGTCTGTGATCACTGTGTTCAATCGTAATTTTTAATATGAGTTATTTCTCTTTCTATTTTCTTACTTCCTATTATGTTGTAATCATTGATTTCTTTTTTTTCTCATGCATTCGGAAGAAGGTTTTTTCCAACTATATGTTTGCTCTCTTAAAAATAGAAGCACTTAAAGCATAAAAACCCATTTTGAAAAATAATAAAAACAATTTTCTTGGAAAGATAGGAAAAAAGAAAGTTGGTAATTCTGTCTAATGGAATTGGTGGATGGGAGTGTGCAAATAAAACCCACACTCACACCCGCAGTATTTACATCCACATCCTTGAGCCATAGTAAACAAAGTTTTTGTTGGAGAAAAGTAAAAGAAAGAAACGCTAATAAATCTTTCTGCTGGCATTAGTCATAAGTACCTTATTTAAAAGGTATAGCATATTATTCGAAAACAAACATTTCTTAAGTTTCATCTTGGAATTCGGTTATTTCAAACTCGGCTATTTGAATAAAATAAATTTGATTAGATTTCAAATCAAATACTGCTGTTATGTTCATCGCATCACAATCGACAACAATTTTTTCATTTGATTCGGTAAGATCTCAAATTAATTGAGCAGTAGTCCTAATATTTTGGGAATAATCCTATGTGAATATGAGAATAAAGTATTTTTATCGATATATTGTTATACTAGACATGAAGGGTGGATGTGAATGTAGGTGAGGATGATAGAGAAGAAGAGACATCCACACCCACTCCACCCTCAAGACGGTCATCTTTTTCTCCAATCTTACTTTTTTTGTTCTCTTTCCCTGATATCCCTTTCATTGCTCTTATATGAAGCTAACAACACCCACACCCAAAGTCAATATTTGAATATATCAAGTAGTCCAGTTATGCATGATTGATTATACATAAATTATTAGTACAATGATATCGATGATGATAGCTATATTATATATAAGCCGCCATGGCTGAGTGGATACGTTGTCCGTCACGTATTCACAAGGTACTGTGTTCAAACCTCGGTATCATCGGTTATGCAATGACCCTGAACAAGTCACTAATGGTTGTTTGTCTCGGATTATCCATCCGACGTCATGTTGATTACATTACGACGTACAATACAGCTCTCATGGCTAGTATGTAGTTAGTTAATGAACTTAGATAGTTTGAGTAATTGAGCGTGAAGAACTCTGCGGCAGGCCGGTCTTCTGTTCAGAGCTGCAGCTAGTAAGAGTTGTAGGAAAGACATCGGGCTTCTGAAACTGTCTTTGGACAGCACCTTACACCAAAAGATAGCCGAAAGGCAAGGAACTTCTTCTATATTATATATAATTTTGTTTATGTTTCCAAATAACATATTTTGAAATAAATCTTTCTGCCATTTCCAAAAAAACAATTCTCTGAAAAATTTTGCCTCTACAAAAATCGAAAATCTCATTATTTTATGAGTTTATTTGAACAAAGAAGCAGAGTTCAACAATCTTGAGGGTATCGATGAATTTGAATTTAAGTATGGATACTGTGTTCACCTAGGTTTCACACCCACACCTATCCTTAAATACCTATGCCCACACACTCAGATAGATGTGAATAAAAATACCTATGTATTTATTTCTATTTAGGAGAATTTAAAACTCCCCTATAGGTGAAATTAAAATTTTAATTTACCCTAGGAGAGATTAAAATTTTTTTTCCTACAATACATACGTGTTATTTTTCCCTCTATACTTGGTTCTTTCCTTTTTCTTGTGTATAATATAGTATCTTTTCGTTCTATGAAATATCCAATATGTTACTCTCTCATTCTATATATATATATATATATATGTGATGGTTCTTGATGTGCTTATATTCATTAATCCACCTTCACTACTTTTATCTTGTTATTTTCTCCTGTTTTGCTTAGTTGAAATAAACTATTCTTTCATCTTGAATTTTTCTCTTTGTTCTTACATCAAGACGTGATAATCTTATATTTAAAACGTAAGTACAAAAGTAAATATTTATGTTCAGTTGATACAATATTCAGACCAAACACTACTGACATCTATCATCCTTATACGAAAGAGATGATAACATTTCTACTTTTTCTTTCATAAAATGATGCAAGAATGAAAATTACCCATAATAGTTTTTTAGTGGGTATTTTCAACAGGAAAATAGCAAGTATAGAATTAATCACCAAGTAATTGCAAAGGCATGATGCAATTATTTTTAAGCACTATATAAACACCTACAATATAGAGCGATAGTTATTTTTTGATAATAAGTTTTTTCAGCAGTACTGAATATTGTCAATTTAAAAGACTGATTATATTTTCTAGTAATATCAATGGCATTACCAAAAGAAAATACACATACTTTGAAATCCCTTGAAAACAAAGAAAGAATATCTTTCTCAAGCAACGAAGTACTGCATCGTATTTCTAATATGTGTCAGGAACTGAAAAATCGAAATGTTCATTCCACTGCTAGTATGATTGCAGCTGGTTGGACTTATGTAAATGCTAATAATACTGCTTATTGTCGACTATGTGGCCTGAAAGTGTCTGAATGGACTAAAGAAATGGACCCATTTGTAGTTCATGCAGAACAGAGTCCTTCTTGTTTATTCATTCACTCTAAGAATACAAATGAGTTATCATCTTCTCCTATATCAACTACAGATAATGAAGAAAAACCAATAAAACGTCGAAAGATTGATTCAGACAAAGAAAATTTCTTAGCTGAAATTGAAACTTTGAAGAAAATTCGTCGTCGTACATTTTCGCATTGGCACTATGGGCAGGGTATCACAGCAGCACAAATGATTTCAGCTGGTTTTTTTAGTTGTAATGTTGGGGATCGAGTTATTTGTTTATATTGTAATTTAATCTGTCAACAATGGACATCGGGCATTGATGACCCTGAAGAAGTTCATTGTACTCTGGCACCACAATGTCCTTATGTTCGATCTATGTTAAAACTTCGTCAAACAAATTCAATATCAATTGTAAATGAAAATTATACGAACAATTCTACTGGTCAATTACAAACATCAAATAATTTGAGATGCAATGAAATTGTTCATACATCAGCATATCATACGAACTACGCAGAAATACCAAAACGTCTGGAATCATTTACTTCTTGGCCTGAAGAATCACTACCATCTGTTGATGATTTTGTACGAGCTGGATTTTTTTATACAGGAACAAAAACAATTGTAACTTGTTTCTATTGTAATGGATCATTACAGAACTGGGGTGCAAAAGATAATCCAACAGTAGAACATGCTCGATGGTTTCCAGGTTGTGCTTATGCAAAACAATTGTGTGGTGATGATCTCTATGAAAAAATTCAAGAATCAAAACGAAGATTTCAAAGTTTGTTTTAATTTTTATGTAAATCAATAATAAATTTTCTCTTTTCTAGAACGTAATGAAGAAAATCAATCGAAAAGAAAATACAATGATTCCTCAACAAATCATTCTCGAGTATTAGTACCAGATGAGAATACTTTATCACGATTGGTTGCTGCTCGTCTTGATTTGCCAATATCTCAACGTTTGCTCAGTCAAAATTTTAAATTAACAGTTATTAAACGCTGTTGGGAAGATCAATTACGACTGAAACGTAAGAATTATTGATATGATTAATTCTAATAAATTCATGTTTTTTTCGTTTAGAGGACGATTTTGTTTCAGATACTGATCTTTTAATTGCCTGTATTATTCTACAAAAACAAATTATTCATATTAATGGAAATAAAGAAAATATTATTATTCCAAGTATGAGAATGAAATTAATTCGTGAGAAAGAACAAAATCGTAAGTTAAACACTATCATATTGATTAAAATTTATTTTTTTAATTTCAGCAACTGTAACTGATGAACAATCGAATTTATCATCATCTATGGTTTCTACCGAAGAATTACCCGCAGAAAGCCAGTTCAATACCAAGGATATGATAACGTCAAGTAACGAAATCAAGAAAATAGAAGAGAAAGTGAATTCTGAAAATAGTTCATCATCAATATCCAATGCATGTGTTCTCTGTTTGACGGAAGAAAAACGACTTGCATGTATTCCATGTGGACACTTAGCTACTTGCGTTTCATGTGGTCATTCACTTCGAATATGCCCAATCTGTCGAAGAGAGATCAATGCTTTCGTTCGTATTTATATTTAATTTGTAAATGACTAAATATATTGTAATAAATCAGAATTCTTTATAAAATGTAAAAAAATATTCGTAAATCAACGATTTAACCAAGATAGATTTTATTGTACAATATGTATTCTGTTTTTTTCCCTAAATAAAAATGGTTCATCTTCTCGATAAAATCGAGTAAATGATGTTTCGTACTACTTCTTCATTGTGCACTCCGTGTATGCAATGTACTTCTTTTTTTTTTCTTTATTCTTTACAAAAAGAACAAACAAAAAGTGCTCATGTGCTTCAAATGGAAGAAAAAAATAGTCACAATTTAACACAGAAAGATATAAAAATTTTTGAAAAAATCCGATTTCTATGGGCGTCAGCTTATTAAAAGAAATTAAAAGGCGCAAATCTTCATAATGACGTCAGCAATAGCGTATTTGTCCCCACTCCTTGCTACCCCACTGAATAAAAACATATATATGTAATGAAAAATAATAATACAATGCACCTGTATCAAAGAAAATAATCACAACATGGAGCAAATATTTGAATATTTATTTCCAGATCATATCACAAATACAACAGCACAAAGTCATATTATTCGTTTTGAAAAACAATTATGCAAGTAAGAGTGTTTTATTGCTAAACATAATCAAGATAATATGTACAATCTATTTTGTTTGCTTATTAGAATAAAATCAAATAAACATATTGCAGAATATTTCATTCCTACACCCTGCAATCGAATTTTGAACAATCTACACGTTTTGGCAGAAGATTTTTCAAATAGTAATCAAATAGCGGACAAATTATTACAAAAGATAATAAAATCAGAAATGAAATTTCAAGTGCTGTATGATAGGGGAATTATTTTCTTCTGTGCAAATGGCGTACAATTACGAAACGAATTACTTGCCGAATTTAATGAAATTTGCGAAATTATTGTCGAACTGAATAATTTGGATTCCATGTTCTTTCGACTCCTACCTAAATATAAACTCAGAAATAAACTGGAACATTGACGAAACTTAATTCTCAGAATTATTGCGAATCATCTAACACAAGAAAGTCATGATCGAATCGATTCTATTTTTAATTTTATTTCAACTAATGAATTTTTGACATATATGTTTGATTCTAACTCAGCACTTAATCATGATATCATCGAAGAAATTACCACTGATCTGCATTTATTTATTGCGTGATGTTGTAATCAGAGAATAATTTTTTTTCTTTTGTATCTAATTTTTAAACTCGATATATCACGCGCATTCTTTTTTTGGTCAAAGATTTTGAATATTTGTATATTTTTGTATGAAATATAAACAAGATTAATAATTTTAAATATTTTTTTTTTCAAAACTAAATAAATCACATTCGAACGAATATTCGAAAATTGATTGAATCTTTTTCTTACTTCTTGGCCATATAAACTCCAAAATTGATTTATAGTTTGTTCAATATCTTTTTCTGATTTATTATTTTCTAAGAGTACTCACATGACGAAAATAAAACTGTTTTATTTTTATTTTAAATCGATACTCGTTCACAGTACGCATTGAATCATCAATAAGAATGTATGACACACCTTTGTAATGTGGTAACCTACACAATAAGAAATGTTAATTCATTTGAAGGCGTCGTTACTGTATGTGTACGTATCTTGAGGGTGCGGATATGGCACAAATACCACCCACACGCTTTCAAATAAGATTCATTGAAACTAAATTAAATTTTTAAATGAGTTTTAATGATTTTTATAATTTAAAAACAAGATATAAAAATAAAAATAATTAAAACACTAGTTTTATATTATGTTTAACCGAAGAAATCCGATTAAAAGCAATTAGACTTTTTATTTTCTATAAAATAAAAGAACAAAATCTCTGAATTATTTTTAATAAAAAACTAAAATTAAAAATGAAATGAAAATATTTAATAGAAATATTCTAAAGAATAAAATCCTGTTGAAAAAAATTTTGTGAGTTTGTCGAATGATTTAAACAAAAGAGAGTTCATAAAATTTCATTATCAGAAAAAGTTCTTGACAAAAAACAAATTTTTATCTGATCAGATAAAAGACAAAGAACAATTTTCTAATTAAAAAATATTTTTTCAATTGGTTCTAAACCTTTTAGTTGGCAGTATTGTAAAAATAAATAAAGAATTATTTTAACTACTAAAATTAATATTTAAGTTTTTCAATTAATTTGAAATTTCAACAATTGAGAAATAATCTGAAAGAATAAATTCATATGTTAAGTTTTCTCTATAATATACGAAATGATATTTAATTATAAAATCTTTTATAATTTTTCGTGTCTAAGTGGTTTTCTATTATAAGAAAAGGAAGCGAATAATACAACTAAATAAACCTATATACACCCACACACGTATCTACACCTACACCCACCCCCAACCACACCCTTTTGAGAATTTGTGTTTTGTAACTTTAGTGAATATGTAGCAATCGCAAAACTTGTCTCAGCAATGAGACAGTGTCCGTGTGATTGTTCTTTTAATTATATCTGCGCCCACCTTCAAGATGGCTACCATTTTAGGTGTTCACTTGTTTTAATCGATTTTTTTCTCTTTCTTTTGTTCTGCATTGCAGAAGATGTCATAAGGAATGCTGTTTGGAAGTCGAATCTACCACCGAGCGATATATATGTTTGTTTAGTTCTGTTTCTCTCTCTATAGAAAGAGGGAAATATGGCGTTTGTTTTTGTTATAAGAACAGAACAAAAAAGTGAAGAAAGAAAGAAATAACTCTTCATGAGTCCATTAGTTACTATTTTCTTTTTTTTCTACTTCATCATGAATACCTTCACATGTTTTATTCCATTTTGTTTACGTTGTTGTGTAATGTTTTCACTTGCACTTCTTTCAAAATTATATCATTTTTATAACACGAGAAAAGTCATTGTTTTTCCAAATCAGCCCGACAATGTTCAGTTTCTACTACACATATTCTATCTGACTTCATTGTCAATGGATTTCTTTTTACTCTCTCTCTCTCTCTCTGCAATTAATTATAAAAAAAAATTTTTTTTCTACTTTCTCTTTTTTTCTCGTTCTTATTTAACATGACGTTGCGTTGCCAACCTCAATATAACAAAACAATACAAATAAATGTTTAAAAAAAGAAGAATGGAGAGAATTTGTATCTGATTTTGCAACATGTGACGAAAGAAAAGAATAATGTATTTTGCAATATCGAGTAAAAAGTGAGAATGAAGCTATTCGAATAGCTACTACCATGTACGAACTTTCTATTCTTTTAATTTATGTGTTCGAGACTGAAATGGACATTAAATGAGTAGTCGTCTACTTTCATTTTAGATTACATTGCTCTTCTCGATTAGTACTACTGTCGCAACAACAAAATTTGTACATCATCTTCACAAACATTTACCATGCAGTCTTTTCTTAGTTGTGGGGACAGGTTACGAATCAAGGTCATGCGAAAACATTCAATTAACACAATTATCTCTGTACAAGATACGATTTTATCATCGGATGAAACAAATAAATCTTGCAAAAGTTTGCATACAACTTCAACAGTAAAGTCACAGTCAGATGCACATGTGCATCCAAATAGTACATCGACATCTACCAAAAACAATATACAACAAGTTCCTGTTTCTGATCCAACGATTGCACTACATTCAAATCAAATAACATCGCATGACTCAGACGTCACCATGAAAGGTATGAGTTAACTTTTTATCTTTTGGAAAATGTTGAAAAATATCTATTATCCTTTTTAGTTTTGGAAACAAAGCCGGAAAAAGTAACCGCGTCACCCGAAGAGAAGAAGCATATATTCTTTGCCTATGCAGAACAAGATGAATCTGATATAAAAGTGGCTGAAACACTGAAGGACTATTTCGTCCAGCGACGATTGAGAGTTTATCATCCTAGAGAAAATGAAGATATCAATACTAAAATTGCAAATGGTATTAAAAATGCTGCTGTGGTTATAGTTCTTCCATCTCACTCATTACAAATATCAAAAACAGGATCAAAACTATTGAATTATGCTGATCAAACTAAAACTCCAATTTTAAATATTAGGATTTATGAAAATTTTCAACCTAAAGACTGGTTAGGTGCTATTTTAGCTCCGACAAAAACTGTCTCAACTGATTTTAATGAACTTATGAAATCCTTGATGTCTATGGGTATCAGAACTAATAATCTTGTTCTTGAACGAGATGAAAAGAATGAACCACAACCAATAGCAAAGCAACTGTTTCATGGTGGGACTGGATCGGGAAATGTAACTGCTACTTATCATCAGTCTGGTCAAGAATTTCCAATGGAATTTGAGGTATTGAATAAATTGAATTAAAAGATATATTAATATCTAACTTATATATTTTTATTAGTTTCTGGGTTTGGAACAAGGCAAAGTATTTGGTCAAGGCGATGATCATTTTGGAGCTTTTACTATTACTGGTGAATACAACCTTCAAGATGGCTATGGTGATATTAATATGCATAAGCAATATGTTGGAAAGCATTCTGTTATATATCGAGGAAAGATTTCTTTCGAAGGGATAACATGTACGATAGAAGGAAACTGGGAAATGGGCAACATATTTGATAGATTTTTCATCTATCTGACTCTTCCGGAAGTGTATGCAACAAAAATAGAAAAGGTATCATCACCGAAAGCTTTACGAAGACAAGGAAATAAAGTTATGATTTCCTATTGTCCATGTCAATATGATTTAGCTCAAAAGATAACTGCAGGACTAATATCGAAAGGTATTCCAACAATTTGTCCACCATTACGAATGTATGAGATGATAAAAATAGCAACTGAAGAAGCAAAAGTTATTGTACCATTAATGAGTGAAGCATATGAAGCATCTAATATGTCAAAGTATGTTCTTTCTTATGCGGATGAAGCTGGTATTCCTATAGTTCCCGTAAAAGCACAATATCCTTATTCTCAAAGTGGTTGGCTCGGTGTTATTTGTGCTGGTGCATTATATACGAAGATAGCGGTTGAAAATGACATTGAGAAAAGACTCGATAATCTTGTAGCACAATTACATCCATATATTAAAGATTCTGTACACGAAGAGCAACTTATTGATAGTCTTGTTGATGGAACTCTTGCTCAAGGTTATTATATTCAATGGGGAGAGGAGTTTGATATGAAGTTTGATATGTTTGCTATGTCAAATGGATACATTTCTGGTCAAGGAGAAGATGTAATCGGTGGTTTTGTAATCAATGGGAAGTATACTTGTTTATCAGATGAAGAAGACTTTGAATTCCAGTTTAAAAAGCATTATATCGGAAAACACGATGTTGAATACTCTGGAATTATCACTCAGAATGAATCTCAATTCTTCTTCGATGGTAACTGGTACATAGGTAACTTATCTGATAGCTTTCATCTAGAAGTTCCTCGTAAACAATCATCAGGACATAAAGGCTTGCATATTATGTTAAGTTATGAATGGAATAATCAAGAGCTTGTTAAACGAGTAGCAGATATGCTTAAACAAAGGAATATTCCTATTTGGTTTGATATTGCTGGAGATATGAAAGGAAATATCAATACTGCTATGGCTAATGGTGTTGAAGGTGCTGCAGCGGTTATTAGTTTCGATACTGTTGCTTATAGCAAAAGTATTAATTGTCAAAAAGAACTTACATATGCTTCTCAATTAAAGAAGAATATTGTTCCTGTTCTTCTTGAAAATGATACGGAATTTGAAAATACATGGTTAGGTATGATAATAGCTTCCTTAAATAGAATCAATATGCAAGATGATAATCAATTTCACTCCACTATCGATACTCTCGTACAACAGTTAAATAAATTTCTTGAAGAGAAAAATGATGAAGAATCTCATCGATCTGAAGTTATAACAAGATTTGAAGGTGGTGCTGTAGAAGGAAAATATTATCAATATAATCAAGCTTTTGATATGTTCTTTGATTTCTTTTCTTTAAGAGAAGGAAGAGTTTCAGGTCAAGGAAATGATGCAATTGGACCTTTTACAATGGCTGGCAATTATGATAATGAAGGAAAGGTTTCCTTTACAAAGCAGTACGTTGGACAACATGCTGTTGAATATGATGGAAATATCTATTGCGATAACTTGGGAGGATTTCAAATTAAAGGAAACTGGAGTATTAAGAACTTAACAGATGAATTTTATTTGGAAAGCGTCAATACTTCCAAGCCTGATGTACCGACTGAAAACATTTAATTTTCTTGGTTTTTTTACATGTCTGTTATTTTAATTTTATAAAAATATATATTTTTGTAAAAACCTACTTTTCATTAAATAATATATGCTACATATCAGACAAAACTTCAAGAAGCAATATTTGTTACCTTGAGAAGATTTACTGCTGAAACTCATATATTTCTATAATGTAATTTATTCAAGTATTTTATTTCTGTCTTATTTTTAATTAAATATAATGAGAAGAGAAAGAGGATATATCTTCTGAAACTCGTCTAATCTAAAAATAATGTTTCATTACAAAGCAGAGATTATCAAACTATGCTCATCATATGATAAAAATAAGATTTTTAATTATATGCTATTTCTACATTTGTTTCTAACATTTAAACAACTCTCTTATGCTCTCTATACTTTTATTTTCGATGTATTTTAATAATGAATAGGTTTTAAAAGTTTTGAAGTATATGTCAAACGATACATTGGTGTTAAATATGAGTATTGAAACATCTCTTACACGTCTGATCAAACTGGTTCTATTCGCAACTCCACTAGGACCGTCACTTTTGTGTTCAATCTACATAATGATATGTTTCGTTTCTGAAAGTAAACTACGTCGTCATAATAATCATGTTATGATTGCCATCATTATTATTGATTTCATCGAGCTCATCTTCGATCTTACTGCTATAACTCTGCCTTATTTACATACGGGTCGTGTCTACAATTTATCTGTTTGTCTCTACTGGGTTACAGGTAATTATGCATTACAAGGTATAGCCGCTTGGCTTATGGCATGGGCATCTATCGATCGATACCTTCTCATCTTTCACCATCGTCTTCGAACTACATTCATCAGACATGATTTACCACTCGCAAGCATTTGTATTTTCATTGTTAGTTGGTATACTACTATTACATTGACACATCCATGTAGTGAAAATTGGTTCGATGATACTAAGTTTCTATGTGGTGGACCATGTTTTAATAGTAGCGCCATCATAACTACCATGGACTGGATTCTTATTGTACTCACACCTGCACTACTGATTATTTTAGTCAATTCATTTCTCCTCGGTAGAGTGCTATTTCAAAAATGTCGATGTCATTCAGGTGTTAGGAGACGTTTACTGACGTGGCGTAAAACAAGAAAATTACTTATTCAACTACTTAGCATTATTTTCACCTTTCTCATCACACAAGTGCCTTTAGTTATTCTCTCACTTGTACAAATATCCTTCGCACCCGATTTTCTTGCTGATATTTCACTTATCTGGCTCTATTATATGCCCTATTTGATTTATATTGTCACACCCTTTGTTTATATTGTAACAACTAAAGACTGTCGAACACATATATGTAGACGTTCCCGTCGTATAGAAGCGATGGCTACGGTGCCGCTACATCGACAAGAGCACTCAAATACTTATCATAGAAATATCATACCGAGAATGGCTCTTCCTCTGAATAACTCCAGCTACCCTCAAGGTCAATCAGTTAGATAGACTTGCTGATGATGTAACATTCAATTTTTTACCAATACGATTCAAATAAAACATTATACTCAATTATTAATTATTGTATGTTATTAAGTGTTCTATTTCGATTATTTTAACATTCCTAGAGCCGAATTCAATATGTGTTTTTAGTGATTTTAATTTAACATTTATCTCTATCCTAGACATATCTATATTTAAATATATAATTATTGTAAAATATGTTGTTTGTTTCTTCGTTATTCCTTTTTAAATATAAATCAAAAGTTTCATCAGTACAAGAAAAAAAAGCCGCCAACTCTAATAAATATAACAATTTGAAAATGTCAATGTGATCATTATCGTTAATGATTGCTAAAATTACCATTAGCAATTATCTCTATTTTAAAACTACGAACGAGTACTGAATATCAAAATAATGAAAAAAAAATGAACAACAGATATCAAGAAATAGATTTTATTCGCAAGTCGAGAAAACATTTTGTTTCGAATTGTACTCATCTTTGTTACATACACATAATGAAAAACCGTTTTTATATCTTTTCTGTTGAAAGAATAGTCGTTTTAGCGACCGATCCCATTTATATCGCTACAATGATCAAATGTATCGTAGGAACAACTGCCTCCGGATAAAGATAGTGAAAAGGGTGGGTGTCGATGCAAAACATTCTGTTAGTCTTGTCTTTCCAATTAGTATGAACAGTCATCACCCGATGAATGAAATATAAATATTAATTAAGAAAAGCTGATCAATTTGTAGTAGAAATTTATACACACACAACGACTTCTATTATAAGAGAATGCATTTGGCAATCGTTTTACATAGTCAAAAAATATATGAGAATGTTATCCAATTCTGAATCATCCGTGTCTATAACAAATTACAATTTATTGTAAGAATATAATCATCAAATGAACTTATATATGATGTTTGGCAAATATAATAGTAGTAACAACAATAAAAAACAAACACTTTTTCCTTGTTTATCTTATTCACACAAACATACGAATAAATTAAGTTGTTTTTGGAATAACAGATGGACTAATTTTAGTAAAACCAAATGTATTGGAAAAATATTTTTGACTTTCAATTCCTGTTTTATCTTTATCAGCTGCATTTGGATTAACAATTTCAAGGCCCTAAACGAAAATAATTTAGAAAAAAACTGAATTAAAATTTTCAAACTATTTCTTACATGAAGTGGAGTAAAAGCAACACTTGATGCTGTTCCACTAATTTGTTTTCTATTATGTACTGTTGTTGTACCACCATACGCATTATTTTGACGTTGTAAATTTTTCTAAAAAAAAGATTAATAATATGAATAAGAAGAAAACAAACTTGAAGTTTTTGAGATATTTTTGCTTTTGTTTTCGAATCAACTTGTGCTGCGCGAACTTTTCCAGAACCAGATTTTCCAAGCATATCTGTTAAAAATCCAACTGCATCTTGATAAGCATCTTCTTTAATCTTAAAAATTAAATTTAATTAAATATACAAACCTCGCCAAATTTCGTTTTATTAGCACCAATACGTAATTCAGTCATTCCAAGACGTTCTTTCATTTTTCTATGTCTTCGTCCACCACGTTTCTTTCTTCCAGGATCAATGGGTGGTGGTAATGGTTTAACTATTTTAACCGGTGGTGGTTCTTCTAATTTCTCTATACGTTGTTCAATATTATACTTAATAAAAATTTTCCTTGTTGACCTTGAGGACTTTCATGAAAACTATCAACACGTGCAGCTAATGTTACTTTACAAGAAACTAAACGTGCGACTTTTACTCGAAGATCCTAAAATAAATATTCAAGTTGAAATTTAAAATCTATGAAAATGCTTTAGAAAATTGTAAATAACTAACCGGTGGACAATCTTGAACAATTTTTGAATAAAAAATCGCTCCAGCATGAGGCATAGCTGCTGTTGTTGAAAATCCACCCAGAAGTTTCTTATGTGCACCCAATAATAAAATATTACATGAAGGCATTTTTGTTAAATTTGTTAAACCTCCAGCCATACCCATTAATTTAGCTGCAGTTGATGCACCAACAATAATTGATAAATTTGGTGCAGTGAATGTCGTTCGAGATTCAACATACGACAATATTGTTTGTTTATCTTCGCTTAATTCCATTGCCTAAAAATAAAAAAAAATTATTTTGTAAAATATTTTTATAAAAAAAAACTAAAATACGAACAATATCACATGCTTCCATAACACGTTGTAATTCTTCATCAGTTAAATTTTGTCTAAACGAAAAAAATAAATCAATAAATAAACAAAAATAAAGATACCCTTGAGTTGTTCAAGCTGATACAGTAACAATCATAATTGTTGCTTGTGTTAAAAATTTAAGTAAATTTTCATTTGCTATAGCTTGTTCAATTTTATTTCCTAATTCCTAAAACGAAAAGAAAAGAATATTTATTTAAAAAAAAGGGAGAAAATCAAATTTACTTGAACAGTTTAAATACGATCTAATGGTAATTGAACAAGTTGTTCTAATTCAGGAAATCTTTTTCGATAAAGTCTTCGAAAAGAATTATGAATAATATCAATTTCAACAAGTAAATTATTTGCATCAACAATAAGTAAATATGCCGAATCATGTTCAACAGGACCTTGACTGTTCATTGTTGATTTTCGTTGATATTTTGTATGAAATTGTATTTTTTTCCTTGTTTCTTGTAATAATATTGAATCTTCTTTTGAATCACCTGAATTCTTAGGCTGACCAACAATATATGTAAGCCTGTACTGCTACAAATTTCAAATATGTACGATCTGTTTCAGTTCGTCATAGGGTTTTTAATTGTTACTCCATTTCACTAAGGAAAGTACGAAATGGTCTTAACTTTTCGAGAACGAACTATCTGATCAAATCTTTCTGGACTTTTTACGATCTCAATGTCCTGTATCTAACGATAGAAGAATGAAGGTAATCGAAGTTGAACACATTTGACGATTCCCTTGTGACCTAACTTACTGTTGCAGAACGAAAACAACGCAACAGGCAATATATTGCGAAAAAATGAATCTATTAACACTCAACAAGAAGCAGCTCACTGGGATTTTTCCAACTAACTAATTCAGTAAAAAGAAAGAGAAAATAAAAAACTAGAGCGCGGCGGGGACTTGTAAGTGAGCGAGTAAGATATCTGTTCACTATGCCTATGACGTATGAGTCACTTGGTATTTTCCTACTTTTTTATCCTCGCCTTTCTTATGTCACATATACTTGGATTTTTCCATTCCTGTCTATCATATCGTGTTTGGACTTTCCCTTTCGTTCTCTATGTGTCATCTTTTCATAGTCATTATATCTAATGGGATTTTTCCAAAGATGGGTGATGCTCGATTCTATATACAGCCGATGATCTTTCATAAATAAAGATAGAGAATTAGACACTGAACACCAATTAGTAAGACTGTAACAGAGCTGACAGCGAACAACAGGAGAAGAACACAAAAAAGTCTGTGATTCTCATCATTTCTATGGAGATATGTTATGATGAGTGGCATAGACTGAAGATACAGGATAATTAAAAATACTTTTTTTTGTTTTCTACCGGTTCAGAAACACTCAACGTTTCTCTTTCCATGACTTCATTATATTAAAAAAGTAATAATATATTTAGAAAAAACCGAGAAAGATAAACTGCAGCTATTTTTGTGCTCATTTATTATGGTGAAAGATGTTTTTTCTTTCATGCCAGTCGACTAGACTGCTTCTTTTCTACGACACGTAATGCAGCTAGTCTCTCTAGTATTAGCGTTCGTGTTGATTCATTCGAACGGTAAATGAAGACTAAGATGTCTGCTCTAGTCTAACTGATCTAGGATGTCTGTTCGGATAGCAGAAGGTATATGATTTAAATTATAGGAGGGGTATCTTTTTCTTTTATTTTATCATATTCAATCAGTGATAACACTTAGTCAACGGCTTTGTACCTATAAAAGCTAAAATTTATCCTTTTGAACAATTAAATCAAACACATATATTTTTTTAAATTTCTGATGTATGTAGATAGAATTGGGTTTTCTTTATTAGTCAATTAAACGTAGTCATTTATTATCATTCCTTATTTTATTTTGTTTTAATTTTATTTAATATTAATAATCAATTAAAAATTCGTGACGTCTCGTATCTCGATGAGATAATTCTTCAGACATTAAATTTATGACAAACTCTTTGATATATACAAGTAAAATAGTTTTTTTTCTTTTTTTTCCTTTCGTCATTAGTCTTTGATAGTGGTACGGAAAAATATTATATCTATATTTAGCTATTACTATTGCCGTCTTGTTTTCCGCATCACTAGCAATGACTAATGACGAAAGGAAATAGAGAAAAAAAAGCTATTTTACTTGTATATGTTAAAGAATTTGTCATGAATTTAATGTCTGAAGTATCTCATCGAGATACGAAACGCCATGATTATTAATTAATTATTAATATCAAATAAAATAAAAGAAGAGAATTTAATTATAACAAATTTCAAGTTAACCTTCTTATCAAGACAAGAATAGTGGTTCTTTGCTTACAGAGTTTAGTTTTAATAGCAGTACACCAATCTTGTAATACATGAGATACTCTGACTGCGATCTAGAACGCTTTAGTATAAAAGTTTCTTTTTCGCGTTTATCTCTAATAGAATAGCCGCTTTATCCTACGTAACTAAGCAATAAATAGTATAACTGCCAAATTTTCGTCTATCATTATATAGACGATTATTTGTTTGTTGTCTTTCAATCAGAATAATAATTCCATCCTTTTTTTCCATTCTAGAAACTTAAAATAAGCGTAGGCTTTATCAATTTTATGAGACGAAATACATGTTTTCTAGTAGAGAATATTCTTATTTTGTCGTTTAATCACGATTTAAAAAATATAATTCTTGTTTTTTATATATAGTCTAGACTAAGATAATGATTATAATCTTTTGTGGCTGAGGTGTCAAAAACATTCTTGATGTCTCTCACCGTTCAGAAATAGAAATATATTCTTATTCCATTGTCTACAATTGGGATATATCGATAAGTTCTTACTTTTCACAATTATGGACTCCACTTTAGCTGACGCCCACTTTGGTTCACTTCATATAATCATTTTTTCTTTATATTTATTCTATACAGAGAAGTTTTTCTAGTTTCTTTATCTTTATTTAAAGACAAATAAAAATAAAGTAATACTCCTACTACCCTTGTAGTCGGCTATTGCATTACCACATAATTATTGCCATTATAATCATATGGTAACGCAGCAGCCGGCTACGTAGGATAGTAAGTCGAAAATTTCGAATTTGCCGCGTTTCATGCTCATTTTTTTAACACCTTTAACACGAATCGAAGACAAATTCTAATCCATTCTAGTTAATTCTAAGTACAGAATTGAAATTGGTACATCCCTTCTGCATTATTTTCACACCTAGTTTATTTATATAAGCACACCATATTGAACTCATGAATATTTTAACAATCCACCCTAACAAACTCGTTATTAGTGCTGAATTTTACTAAACGTCGACGAGTGAAAGATCAAAATTGAACGTGAAAAATGTGTTAAATATCGCTGAATAACGCGTAATGACATAAAAAGTCAACGCAGTAAAACGTGTTGGAAGTTCGTACAATGTCACCTTAACGATCGCATACAGTAGAGACAGCATTTTAATCGACTTTTAACGAATTTTTTAAAGTCTTATCTGTTTGAAAAGAGAGTGACTTTTATATATGGAGAATAATTCACGACAGTCAAAACAAATTAACTGAGTTTCAGATTCATTGTTAGGTATAAACAACATGACAATATTGCATGAACAACAAATACAATTGGAAACAACAGAAACAAGTGACTTTTATAATGCATGTGCAGCCAATGATATTCCTCG